ATTGTATCTGTACCAGATGGAAATTCCTCTGGTACAGCCATGGAAAGCTTCTCGAACTACGTTGTCAAAGATGATGTAAAATAATGTGGGAGCCAGAGGACATCCCTTGTCGCAGCCCAAGGTGAACAGGGAATTGCTCTGACTCCTGGCTACGTAGCTTTACCCGGGCCTGCTCACCATCATGAAGGCCCTTAAGGATTGTGAGCAGAGAGTTAGGGACTCAGAAATCACGATGAACAGCCTAGAGCCCTGGCATGTTGATGGTATCATAGGCTAAATTTCGATTTAAAGCTTTCGTGACTGCAAGGATTCATCTTCCTGGTTCTTTCGGTAAAGTCACGTAGAATGGGAATAAAATAATAAAATAAGACAATAAAATTCTCACGACGTTTCGGCCACAACACAAGTGGCCTTCTTCAGGTGAAGAGACAGGTCTGTCTGGAAGACAGAGCTTGAATGAATGCTGTCATGCAAGGACTGCGTCTATTAAGCTGTGTGGGCGGAGTTAAAATATGAATTTGCATGTTACCAGCATCACCTCCGGAGAGGAGGAGGGAGGGGGCTGGGAACACAGGCAGAGAGGAAAAAAGCACTTGCCCCTTTTCTTTTTTCCTCTCTGCCTGTGTTCCCAACCCCTCCCTCCTCCTCTCCGGAGGTGATGCTGGTAACATGCAAATTCATATTTTAACTCCGCCCACACAGCTTAATAGACGCGTGCCATGCTTAACAGCTTTCAGGACACAACAGCGCACCTTGGCTGTTGCACTTGCCCCTTTTCTTTTTTACTCTCTGCCTGTGTTCCCAACCCCTCCCTCCTCCTCTCCGGAGGTGATGCTGGTAACATGCAAATTCATATTTTAACTCCGCCCACACAGCTTAATAGACGCGGTCCTTGCATGACAGCATTCATTCAAGCTCTGTCTTCCGGACAGACCTGTCTCTTCACCTGAAGAAGGCCACTTGTGTTGTGGCCGAAACGTCGTGAGAATTTTATTGTCTTATTTGTTTTATTATTTTATTCCCATTCTACGTGACTTTACCGAAAGAACCAAGAAGAGGTATCATAGGCCTTGACCAGATTAATAAAGTAGAGATGTAGGTCTTTTTGGAATTCCCTACACCTCTGCGGTAGCAAACAGAGAGAATATGGAATGAGTGCCGTATCACCTTGGTCTGAAAGCAAATTGGGGGTCCGCAAGACTCTCTTCAGCGCGCCTGGCAAGGCAATGTTAAATAATCCTTTCCATAACGTTTCCCCACACACTGAGACAAGAGATGCCCTTGTGGTTCTTACAATCTGTGCAGTCCCCCCTGTTAAATAAGGGATCCCAGGGCATCTTTCCAATCCTGTGGAACCCATGCTGTGGTCCAGACAGTTGTGATGATGTCATATAGGGCAGTCTGCACATAGATGCCACCCTCCCTTAGCTTTTCGATTGGGAAATCGTCTCTGCCCGGCACTTTCCTGGTTTCAGACTCTGGATCGCCCCTCATGCTTACATCACAGGCTCAGGTCCAGAAGGGGTGGCGACTTCTGGCAATATTTGGCAGAAGTAGCTCCATGATGTTGTCTGGGCTGAGGGAATTTCCCTCCCCCAAGACCTCACAGAAATGCTCTGCAAACCCGTAGATCTGTCCCTGGGAGTCGAGATCGGATCACCATTCGTTCCCTTAAGGATGGTGATAGGAGAGGTTCTGCAAGTAACTGTTTTGATGGAATTAAATAGTCATGTGTGATTGTGGGCTACGGAGGCAGATTCCATCTCCTCAGCAACCCGCGCCCACCTGGCAGCACCGCACGCTCTCCGACTTTTCAAGGCTGCAGTAAGCTTCCTCATTCTCCAATGTTGGATGTTGTAGATGACGGGAGTGAGCCTGTCGTTTTCTCTCAACCAGCCAGAACACCTCCTTCAGCCAGGGCTTCTGGGGAGGTCTGGACCACATACCCAATGCAGCAATTCCATCAGCATGAGCCACAGTCCTGAACTTCAACTATTTCCCCTCAGCATCAGAAATATGGGAGGAAGATGCCAACCCTAGCTGCAAGCGATGTTGATATTCCTGCTTACAACTATCCTCAGCTAGCTAAGACCATGCCACTGTAAGTTTGAAAGGGGTCCTAGATGAACACCCACTACTGGAATGGAATAATGGCATTCGCATCTTACAGATGACAAGCTTATGGTCAGTGGGCAAATCTACTCCATGGTAGGCCCTGGTGTCAAGAACATAGGCCCGCATCCGCTGGTCCCTAAATATATAGTCAGGCAGATGTTCTTGCTTGGACACGGCGTGCATCCATGATGTTGTGTAGATGCACCAATGCCGGAACAGTGTGTTGGTAATTAGAATCCCATGGGCTTCACAGAAATCTATCAGCCTCCTACTATTATTATTGAGCTGATTTGACCCATGCCTTCCGATTACTCCAACCCAGGTATCAGCTGGGTTGGAATGATCACCCAACAGGAATATTCTATTCCAATGTGCCACTTTAGCTAGTACCTGGGACAGGAGGTTATAGAAGGCGTCTGACTCATCGGCCTTGTCTGCATCCCTCCATTGATGGTCATCTTCATTAGGGGAATAAGCAATCACCACTATTCCTTGCCTCTTGTTCATGGGGAAGTGAGTCCACAGTAGTCTGGCATCTACAGCTTCCCACACCTCACCCCAACACTCCCACAGCCCCTTCATTATTTGTTCAATAGAAGTCCTACTCCCTGTTGTTTGGCAGTTTCCTGCCCCGAGTGGATAACTGTCCACCCCTCATGATGACTGGAGCCAAAACCGGTCCACTGGGCTTTTCACAGAGGTCCAAGTGGTACCAATCCATCTCCCGACAGAGGTGTAGCAGCCTCTCCTCCTCAATGAGAGTCCGAACATTCTATCCCACTGTCTATCACACTTTCTATCAAACTGTCTATCACACTCTCTGTGACACTATCACACTCTCTATCACACCCACCACTGTCTTTCACTGCATCGTTGGGTATCACTCACGGAGTACGATCTGGCTGCTTGGTTGGGTCACAGAGTTAGGAAGTTTGGGAACCCCCCAGTGTTTAGACAGAGATCGTGTTACAATGTCCGTGTTAGAGAGTCCGTGTTAGAGAGTCTATCAGTGCCTGCCTGAAAATGTAGCGTAGTCTGTGTTGGAGTGTCCGAGTTAGAGTTAATCTGAGATAGTTTACCGTGAATGTCTGTGTAGACGAGGTGAGGTGTTAACTGTGTGAAGAGTTTCCGTTAGAGAGGCTGTGTCAGGGATAATGTGAAAGTGTGGGGAGTGTGTAAGGGAGAGTGTGTGTGTGAGTGGAGAGTGTGTAAGAGAGAGTGTGTGTGTGAGTGTGAGAGAGAGTGAAGGAGAGTGTGTGAGTGTGTTAGGGAGAGTGTGTGTGTGTGTGAGAGTGTGTCAGGGAGAGTGTGTGTGAGTGTCAGAGTGTGTCAGGGAGAGTGTGTGTGTGAGAGTGTCAGCGAGAGTGTGTGAGAGTGTGTAAGGGAGAGAGTGTGAGAGTGTGTAAGGGAGAGTGTGTGTGTGTGAGAGTGTGTTAGGGAGAGTGTGTGTGTGTGAGAGTGTGTAAGGGAGAGTGTGTGTGTGTGAGTGTGAGAGTGTGTCAGGGAGAGTGTGTGAGAGTGTGTGTGAGAGTGTGTCGGGGAGAGTGTGTGTGAGAGTGTGTCGGGAAGAGTGTGTGTGAGTGTGAGAGTGTGTGCGAGTGAGGGGACCGCACCGCAAGCCGACCGCTCCCCGCGTCCCCGCGGGGCCGTGCGACCATGCACGCGGGGGGGTTCAAGGCTCACATGGACACCGTACCCTCCGCTTAAACAACAACAACAACAACAACGTAGTAACAACAACAATCATAATAACAGCGACAACAACAACAACCACGCGGCTGCGACTGTGTCTGCGAGGGTCCGCTCCGTCTGCACCAACGTGTAAGAGGGGTGGACATGGGGGCGTTGAACACGACGTGAAGCCGTCTGCGCCGGAGACAAAACGGCGACGTGACGGCACCTGAAATCCACCGTCGATGAAACGCGAGAGGCGTGGAACGCCATGTGGCAGACGGAGAAGAAGTCACCGTGGCAGAAGAAGAAGTCACCGTGATGGCAGAAGAAGTCACCATGACAGACCGAGAAGAAGAAGCCACCGGGGCAGATGATGAAGAAGTCACCGTGGCAGAAGATGAAGAAGTCATCGTGGCAGAAGAAGAAGTAACCGTGGCAGAAGAAGAAGTCACCGTGATGGCAGACGTCACCGTGGCAGACGGAGAAGAAGTCACGATGATGGCAGAAGAAGTCACCATGGCAGAAGATGAAGAAGTCACCGTGGCAGATGATGAAGTCACCGTGGCAGAAGATTAAAAAGTCACCATGGCAATTTTGGCAACGCTTTTTCCTCGAGTTGTGGAGAGAGAGAGAGCAGAGAGAGAGAGAGAAATGGGAGAGAGAAAATAGAGTAGAGAGAGAGTGGGGAGAGAGATAGGGGGGAGATAGAAGATAGAGGAGAGAGAGAAGAGAGAGGGCTGCCACTTCAGCTGTCCGTTTGTGAGCGGTGTTACTCCCAGGACCAAGAGAAATGGTTGAACACGAACTGTGCCGGAGAAGGGGACAAAAACTAAAACCTGAGCTTCTGGTAAGGGGGACGGGAACTCTGCTGGATTTCAGCTGGGAGACGAGGAGAGTGACGGGGGGAGTGACAAGGGGAGTGATGAGGGGAACGCAGCAAGTGGTGGCGGTGGATGAGGAGTCCTCGTCGTCCTCGTCTTGGTGGGCCCCACCTCCAGGCTGTCCCCAGCGTGTCCCAACGGCATTTTCCATTGGCGTGTGCCACCGGAGTGTCCCACCGGAGTGTCCCACTGGAGTGTTCCACGAGTGCGTCCCACCGGAGTGTCCCACGGGCGTGTCCCATTAGTGTTTCCAACTGGCGGGTCCCACCGGCGTGTTCCACCGGAGTGTCTCATTGGAGTGTCCCACCAGCGTGTCCAACCGGAGTGTCCCACCAGTGTCCCACAAGCCTGTCCCACCGGCGTGTCCCACCGGAGTGTTCCACGGGCATGTTCCACCGGTGTGTCCCACCAGCTTGTCCCACTGGTGTGTCCCACCGGCGTGTCCCTGTAACAACAGCACAGACCGCATGCTCAGGGCCACCGCATTTCCGACGCATGCAAACTCGGGTGCACGTCTCAGTCGGTCTCAGCCTATCCATGCCACGTTGGCATTGGAGGTGTTAACTACCTCGCGGCGACCTTCACGAGACTCCTCCATAGAGGTCGATCTTGACACCGCTGGTACAGGGTCATCGGCAAGTCCACTTGGCTCCACACCCTCCTGTACCACATTAGCCCATCTCTTCTCTAGCCCATCTCTTCTCTAGCCCATGTCGTGCCTGTTTAGCCGGGTCCCTGACTCCATGTGGAGTCTGGACACGCAGATTATATGATCCAGAAATACAGTCTCACCTTCCGGAGGAGCTCACTAATAGTACTGTGCCCAGATCCCTTTGTAGGAAACTTGCAGGGCAAAGAAGTCACCCTCATGAACGTCTATCACCCGCCTCTCCCCCGATCAATTCAAAACTTTTTCCTGTAATTGCGTCTCTGATTGAGAAAAGGAAGAGGGGTCTTATCGCAGGAGGCGATTGGAACCTGCTTAAATACCCCGTTCCAGATAAATGGCACTCGACTAATTCTGACCAAAATGCGGCACAGAGGCTTCTACTCAGTGAAATAATCACTCAACGCTAGTTGACAGACCGTTCGAGGACCTTCAACCCCACCAAAAGAGATTAACCCACATTCTAGAGCCTAAAAGAAGCTTTCCAGAATCGATTATTTTCTCATCTCCAGGCCCCTGTTACCACACCACACCAAAGCGGAGGTCCTGGATATGCAACTGTACGTCCACGCTCTGATGACAATCCAATTAATCTTAGACCACAAAATTAATAACGACTGATAAATTATTGGCCCCTAGACCGTCGACTGTTAGAGCATGATCAACTGGTCAAAGAAATAAAAGAGGAAAATGAGGGATACATGAATAACAATGCTGCTTCATCCCAGCCTCCCTATCCCCAGATACTATGGAATGCACTTAAAGTGTATGTATCAGAGGTTTCCCTCGTGGAGAAGGGAGCATGGAGGCTTAAGTAAAAATCTGGGAAAAATAACAGCGACGAGAGGATACCTTAGCAAAGCTACACAAAAGATGTAAAGCCACGCAATCAGCTGAACTTATCAAGGAACTGGATGGGACGAGACTAGAATGTAATAAACTGATAAACTATCAGATGAGTAGGTGATATTAATCTAGATTTGAAGTTTTCGTGACTGCGGGGATCAATACTCTTTGGTTATTTCGGTAAAGTCACGTAGGTATAAAATAAAATAAATAAAATCACGACGTTTCGATCGCAACACAAGCAATCATAATCAGGTGGGAAAATCACAGCAAGAAACAATTGCTGAAGTGGGCAAAAGGGCTACTGTAACAAGAGGCTATATAGGCAAGAGAGGGGGGAGGAGCCAGGGAGGAGAGATAGAGAGGGGGGGATAGGGGGAGTGGAGTGCTGCAACCTAGAGGGATTACAGGGTGACAAGTGAGCGGGGCTGGGAGTGGGAGGCTGAAGAAACTGGAGATGCGGAAATGAAGACAACACCATAAGGCAGTTATGGTTTTACCTGGTTAATAACATCCTTCCAATGATTGCTCAATTTGTATCCATCTTCTCAGTTGAAGTTATGTCTGTTTATATATCTGGATGGCTTCATCAACAAACCTTTGATAGTAGCCCGAAGGTTTTCAGAATACCTTGGTCTCGGAAAAAACAATATGAGAGCCCTCAGCGTTATAGCAATGGCCAGCCACGGCGGAGGTATTGCTTCTGCTATGTTTCAGATCTGCCTTGTGCTCGCGAACACGGCCCGAGATATGTCGTATTGTTTCCCCAATGTAACACCCACCACATGTGCAACTTAGTTTGTAGACTCCAGGATATTGCATGTCAGTAATGACATCCTTCACAGATGGAATTAGATCACGGATTTTGTGTACTGTACTAAATCGGACCTGGATCTTGTGTTTGTTTAAGATTTTGGAAATCGTTTTGGTAACGCCTGCTATGTACGGTAACGTGATGGTTTTGATCGGCGTCTCAGGCGGTTGTTTCTCCATGGTTGGAGAAACAGCTTTGCGAATAATGTGGTCCGAGTACCCATTAATCTTGAGGGCCTGGTGCACATGTTCCAGTTCACTGGTGAGGTGGTGTTGGTCAGAAATGCAGTGGGCCCTATGGTGTAGTGTTTTGATGAGGAAATTCTTCTGTGCCGGATGGTGGTGGAAATCAGGTTTCAGATAGGAATCTGTGTGGGTGGATTTCCTGTAGGCTCACATGACATTGACTTCTCTAAGACCGAGGTTCTTTGCAAGCTATCTGGCTACCATGAGAGATTCGTTCATGAGACTATCCACATATACAAACACAGACACAATTTCAACTGAGAAGATGGATTCTGGCTTAGCAGTCATTGGAAGGATTTGATAAACCATTTCGAGTCTTAATTGATTGTTCACGCTTATGGTGGCTTTCAGACAGCATACATTAATTTTTCGTCTCCCCCCTCCTCTTTTCCGAACATAGATGGACTCGTCCATCTAAACAAACTGTCAAATCGCTATCCGTGGCGCTAACGTTAAAAAAATAAATAAATACAAACTGCCACCTCTTTCAAATGTTCTTGCGTTGGTTTTCACACCTGATGATGACTGCTTGTGTTGCAGTCGAAACGTCGTGAGAATTTAATTGTTTTATATATATTTTATTATTTTATTGTTTCCCTTCAACGTGACTTTACCAAAAGAACCAAGAATATGAATCACTGCAGTCACGAAAGCTGCAAATCAAAATTTCACCCCAGGATGTTAGAACATACCGTGGTGCAGATGCATACACCGACCACTACCTTGTCGCTGTTACTATCAAACTCAAGAGGGTAATACCACAAGGGCATTGCCAGAAACAACTGGACATTGCGAAACTCAAGTGCCCGAAGAAGAACAAAGAGTTTGTCATGGAGCTAAAGAACCGTTTTAGTTTGATAAATACCACCACTGAAATGGAGAAAGAGCAAAACATCAACAGAAAATGGGATAACATCAAGAACACCTACAATGAAACGGCACAAAGGGTCTTAGATTTCAAACAAACGGGGCTAAAGAGTAGATATCACCAGATACATGGCAGACATTTGAAGAGAGGAAACTAATTAAAAAAAACAATTAAACTCCAAATCACCAAGATTACAAGAACAAGCCCAGATAGCCTACAAGAACAAGGACAGATAAGTCAAGACGAGAGCTAGGAGAGACAAGACGGCCTTTGTTGAGAACCTGGCTAGTGAAGCTGAGGAGGCTGAAGACCAACGGAGACTTGAGCACAGTCTACAAGACCACCAAGCGTCTTTGGGACAGACATTACAACCAATCTGCTCCCATTACAGACACAAATGACAACACCATTACCTCTCAGAATGAACAAACAGCTAGATGGGTCCAACACTTCCAAGAAGTGCTCAACTTCCCTGACCCAGAAAAGCCAACCAACATCCCATTAACAAATGATATCCTTGACATTGACACCGGTCCTCCTGACATATCTGAGGTTAGAGCCGCCATCAAATCTCTCAAGAGTGGCAAAGCATGTGCAACAGGATAAAATCCACGTGAAGATGCTAAAAAACATTCCCACAGCTGCCAAGGTTCTGACAGACCTCTTCCATAACATTTGGGCCACAGACAACATCCCCGATGACTGGACTAAACGTCTCATCATTAACATACCCAAATAAAGGAAACCTCAAGAACTGCAATAGCTGGCGAGGAATCACCTTACTATCCATTCCCAGCAGGGTCTTCAGCGGAGTTCTCAACAGAATGGAGACAGCCATTGACACCAGGCTCAGGCAGGAGCGAGCGGGATTCAGAAGAGGAAGAGAATGTAGATACCTGTCAACCCCTTATCAGTGCCTAACGTATTACAGACAAATTCTTACCTTATTGGTCACCCCGTGCCCTTATAAATCTCAACATTCATCCTACAAAATGCCATCACAAGAGAGAAACACAAAAAAGTTGACGAATAAATCGCCCATATTGAAACGGCTGTATGCCGTATGGACCTGAAAACGAAATTTCCCTGTACAAGAATACGGGTAAACCGTATGGGTTGACAGGTATGGATGTATGGACTGGATCTTTGCACTGCGAAACAACATTGGGTAGTGCTTAGAATAGAACACATCTTTGTGTGGATTTCAAGAAAGCCTTTGAAAGATAATGAGCTGTAGATTTCCATCCAAAAGCATAACCATCATAGGAAAGTTGAACGAACACTTTGAATGCAGTGTAATCATGGGCAACACTCTCTCCAAGTGGTTCCCTGCAAAGTCTGGACTGAGACAAGGATGCATCAATCTCGTCCATCCTCTTCCTCCTCAACATAGACTGCATCATGAGCAATACTATATTGGATCAACCCAGAGGTATCCAGTGGACCCTGTTCAACCAGTTGGAGGACCTAGACTTTGACCCTCGCTGTCCTTTTCTCTAATCATTCCAACCTCTAGGAAAAAAAAACTAATAGCTCCAAAAACTCAAGTGATGCGTATCAATGCCGCCACCTCCACCGACACCCGTTGTTAAAAAATGGTGACCCAATGGAGTTTGTGGATGACTTCACTGACTTGGGCAGCCTCATCAGCAAGGACAGCGGGGCCCATAAAAACAGCAAGGCAAGGCCGGGAAAAAACTAGGGCGCCTTCTGTCAACTACGGACCATTTGGAAGTCCAAACAGTGCAATCTGAAAACCAAAGTCCAAATATACCACGCTGATAGCAAAAACCAGAACGCACTCAGGGTGACCATCATGGTGGAGGAGGAAGGCGCTGCTGCGTTTCACGAAGTCTTCTGCAGTTCCACAGCAGGGGTGATGTTGCAACATGGTCTAACCTGGGGGTACCACCTAGTGGCAGCTGTCTCTACGCAGTCATTTTATTGGCGACTTTTGGACCGCGAGGCCGGCACGCACACAGTATGGTCGTTCCCAACGACGCCA